CATCCAGGGGGAAGTAGAAATACTCCTAGTCGCTTCATGCTACAGAAACCGGGATAAGCTCCGGCCTGATGGGCCACTTGGCTCGCATGCAGACTTTATGATCGAGAGTTGAACTAGAGTCTACTGAGAAACAACCCCATTTTAGTGACCAGAGCGAGACTTGAACCCGCGACCCCCGGATTTCAAGTCCAGCGCCCTAACCACTCGGCCACGCTGCCGCCCCTGTCCCAAGACAGCGTAACAGCATGCACACAAACCTGTAATTATTAAGTTCAAAATCTCCGAAGAGAGCTTGTCAGGATTTTCGTCTGTAGGCGCATCAATAATATTGCCTGTGTGTGGCGTTACAAACGCTAACTCTCTTGAACTAGACTCATCTCCTATGGATACCGCGATGATTTCCACTTCTTCGTTCTCCAGCTCAGCGGCTGCTGATCTAAGTGTCTTTTCATCTAAACCCGAGCTCTTGTCTGTGAACACGAGAAGAACTTTCTTCGCATTTACTCGCACGCCATCTCCTTCAAATAATACACTGGTGGCCTTTAGAGCCTGGTCGAGTACAGGTGAAGTAGGACTACCTGTTAAAAGATAAATTCATCGTGTAAATTTCCACATCTTATTTCGACTCCCCTCCCCCCCCCCCCTCCCCCGCCTTCCCCACCAACCTCCCACGTTGAAATAAATAAACGATGCACCCTGGAGGCGCGTCAACTATTCTCTTAGTTGACGATGATCTATATTCTCATTTCTTCGCTACTTCAAAATCCACTAACGTAACGAGAACTTGGATGTTGATCGCCCTTTTGAATCAACGTGCAACTATGAGCTCCGCTGTGCAGCCTTTGTACATGCTCGGTCAACCTAAATAGAAATAAACTAACTTTCAATCGCGGTAAATGAAAAATCCACTGCAGTAGCATCCAAACTATCCCAGTAAGATACGAAAAGTGATTAACTCCTCATAAATGTTACCTTTAGGCTTCGGAAGAATGCTGATTTGTCCTTTAAATTCCTGGATGGTCAGTGCCTTATCTGAAAATTTCAGCATTGGCACAGCCCGCGTTCCATAGAGCACCACACTGTAATGAATTTTGGAAGTCCCATATTTATCAACAATGGACTTCACAGTGTCCTTCATCAGCTTAAAGGACTGATCTGACGCTGCAGACACTGCACACATAGCAACCACTAGGTCCACATCTTCTATTGGCAGCAACACAGCTAAAACAGGAAAAAAAACACTCTTAGTGGCGCTAACAGAGAAGAACGTTATGATGTACCTATTCGCGTTGTCTCTATGTCTTCATTGTAATACTACTTGAATCGCACAGTTGTGCTTTTTGAAAATATCAGTTTAAATAAAGCGCAACATAACGACACTTGAGTGTCTAAAGTAACTCGCATTTGCTTTGGTTTTGCGATTGGCTTAAAAGTCTCGCGCCACTTTGTCATCCAATCAGAAGTAAAACCAAAACCAATCATGACTGTGCTCCCACACGTTTTCCCGCGCTTTGCGACGGCTATTTGTATTGGCTTTGACCTTGGATTGGTCCAATGGATTGACTGTGTAATTTGTGATTGGCCTCAGTAATTACTTTGGTTTTGGTATTACGACGCTAAACTGAATTCTGCTCTAGCATTGTATGATATCCCTACGTTGAAAAGCTCTCTCCATAATCCTATTTCCCAAGGTGGAAGGGTCGACATCTCTAGGCGCTGAGATGACATCTTCTTCGTTCTGTGTGGCCTGCCCTAACTGTCCGGAGTCCGATACGATTCCAATGCCAACAGCAATAACGTGAATTCCTTTATTTTCTAAGGGCTTCGCCGCGGCTCTGATTTCTTCATCTGTAGAGCTGGAGCGATCGTCTGTTATTACCACTAAAACCTTAAAGCATAACAGAAGGAACATGCATCACAAAGCTATTGATAAAATTACCGTTTTATAAGGCGTGCCCTGTTTGGCTCCCTTCTTGCTCGGCAAACATAGCTATTATGTCTTGTAAAGTCCATCAAATATTTTCTCTCGTACGCGATTGGTCTAAACGCATCACGTGACTGAATATGCCCCAGGTAAAACTGGCTAATATCCGCGTGATATTTGCCAATTTTCAAAACTGCGCGTGTTGCGAAAAATATTTAAAGTATGCTATACACAATGGCTTCCATTTGGCGTGAAAATATGCTCAGATATTTTGTCCTTGGACATTACCTTTTCTTCATAGCTCACAGTTACGCTCTTCTGGAAACTGTTCGCTTCTCGGAACAGATAATGTCCGCGGGCAAATATCCGAGCATGTTTTCGCGCTAAATGGAGGCTGTTGTTTATATATTTCAATTGTTATCACCTCAAACAAACTCAAATTCCGCCAACGTACTCTCGTGTTTACGTGAAGTTGTTAAAAAGAACACGCACTTTCGTCTTCTTGGTCAAATGGTACAACAAATCAATTTCACTAAGAATATTTTAGATCTATCATGATGAAGTGGCATACGGAGTAAGGCAGGTCTTGGGTTGTGACTCGCACTGAAAGAGAGTTGGAGAGCAGGCTATTCGTATATCAAGACAGCAAAGATTGTAGTTGTAGCAGAGAGCCATGTGAAATATGAAGTGATACAAGTCACCTCCATCACAATTCTGGACACCTACATGACACGTTTAAGAGGACATCGAAACATTTATACCACAAGAAAAAAAAGCCTCGAAAAGATAGAAATGGGTGATTACCTTCATAGCGTTTGGTCGAAGACCTGAGCCTTCAAAGACACCCTTGGCTGCATTCAGTACACGATCCAAAACAGGTGGTCCTCTGCTAGCAGGCAAGCCCAGCACTAGCTGTTTAAGGTCCTCAGGGGATGGGTCCTCCGGACCAAATCTTTGTTCAATGATGGCATCCGTACCAAATGAGATCACTCCATATCTAATACTGCCTACACCGTAAGTGTTGATCACATACGCCAGAGTATCTTTCATTGTGCGGAGAGTTTCTATTGCGTTTCTTGAGGTGGCACCCACAGCGAAGATCACATCCACTTCCGGTACAACAGGCCCTTAATAATGATAACAATTAGTAATTACGGGCATTTGAAACCCAATTCAGATTACTGTCTGAGGCCTCGTCCACAATACGGTGTTTTCACTCTACAAACACATCAAATGTTTTAGGTCCACACTAAGCCGGAGATTTTTGAAAACGGAACAATCACCGGCCTTTTTGGATTTGTGTTTGAGGAAACTTCGCGCAGGGAAATCACATGATTATCGTAACGCCATCGTTTTAAAAATGCTACGTTTTCAAAATAGTTTCTGTCCTCACTAAAACGTAAAGCACGCGCTTTATATTCCTCCAGTTTGAAGAGCGCTTTCGAAAAGCTCCGTTTACGTGACGGATTAGTGTGGACGGTAGGACTAACCGTAGAAACAAAGCTACGTTTTGAAATTTCTACTACGTAGTGTGCACGAAGCCTAATTAACAACAATACTGCGAGATAAGCACCGCATTCTAAAACGTGAACAAGTATTTGAATTGGGCTGTCTTTTAGGACACAATGTAACCTGTGGGAGTCAAAAGCCTACAATGTAAGGTGTTTTAAAGCCAAAAATTCTAAAATAATTTTAATTTTATCGGTAACGCACACGATCGTGATCTATCAGCGATTAGTATAAATCTACTGGCGTTCCATCACGAATGCTGTTCTCTGATTGGCTACGCTACTCACTATATATTCTGTGATAGATAGTGAGTAGCGTAGCAGTGTGCGCTTGTTAACAAAATGACGGCTGCTTCTTTGCGTTTTCGAGGTATCTCTGAGGAGGATTTATATAAATTTTTGAACGACTAGTAGATTTATACTAAAACAATTACATTATTCGCTCTTGATTTCTAGCGTGATAGAAATCTCGAGCTCATAATCTAATTGCTTAATAGCAATCGATAACAGAACCAATCACATTCACGGATTTGAGAGACCACGATCAACGTGTACAGGGTCGACTTAAACAGTCTCAAAGATATAAGGTAAATGTGACTTCCTCACATTACTACAGCAATATAAAACTTTCACGTGAAAAATAATCCAGCCGGCCCGGTAAACAATATAGCTGCATGAACCATCATTCTACGTTTTTTGTTTGTTTGTTTGTTTGTTTGTTTGTTTTTTCACATGTTCCTGGTAAATGGAAAATCTCGGACTTAACTTTACTCGGACTTTACTTTAATTCACTCGAGTCATGCAAGACTCGAGTTTTACTGACAAAGAAAGGGAAAATACCTTTCAAAACCTTTCGCATTATTGCTTCTCCGAGTTTGTCTGGTACGAAAACTTTTGGTGCTTCAATCAGGTTACTTTGGTCTTTTGTGGTCAAAATCAACTGTTTCAAGTCGGCTTCCTCTCCAATAGCCACTGGTATGACGTCAATGTAGTGTGCATACAACCTATTGGCTGTGCTATTGACACGTGATTCTGCAACACCAGACTTCTTGTCCATAATCACAACCAGAACCTTCCTCGCAGTCGGTCGAGCTCCTGCTTCTTGAAATAACTTGTCTGATTCATCGAGAGCTTTCTCAAGGTCAGGCCCTTTACGAAAGAAAAATCAAATGTGTGTTAACAAGCAATTCAAGAAATGTTTTCAACGCACTACATTTCATCTTAGAGATTTCAAGTAACCGCGACGGCGACGGCGACGCCGAGGTCAATGTCGATTAAAAAATGAATTTATATTTTACATACGAATCTCGCGATACTCTTAAGTCATTTAGCTTGTGTCTCACTGTCAAAACAATCTTCAAACTGAATCTGGAACACAGCCTTAAATTCAGAATAGAAATTTTAAAAAACTAGCTGTTGTGGTTCACTTTCTCCAGACAACGCAGAATGTTTCAGGCGTTGTTTGGCAGAGGACAGCAAAGAAATGTACCAAGAATTATTACGTGCACAGCCATTGTACTGCTCGCAAAAACCTTTTGTTAAGCGACGTTCCCGTTGCCGTTGCTGTCGTGGTTCTCTTGAACTCCCTGTTTTATGTAATTTAAAAGGTCCTTGTTCCTTGATCTTTGAGCACCCCGTAGAGTTTGTTCCCCTCTCCTTCCGGGTTCGTACCCTCTTATCCCTCCCCCCTTTACTGCACCCATCCACCCAACAGTGTAAACATCAAACCTGTGGAACTTCTAGGCATCATTTCCAGAAGTTTGATCAAGTCATCTTTGGAGAACGCCTCACGGCGGAAGTCCCTGAAACGACTAGGCACATTGCCAAACGCCAGCAAGCCATAATGAATCTTGTCCGTTCCATACTTGTTCACAATGTACTTAATTGTATCTTTGATGAGACTGAAAGTCTTGTCTGCATCAAGTCCAGTGGCGCTGAGGGCAAAGGCAAGATCAATCTCTGGTACTGGAGGCTCACCTAATAACAGTGAAAATCTAAATCAAATACATATCGTTTCCGGTTACAAGATTTGCATAGCGACTGCATACTGTACAAGGACTTGACCTGAAATGATTGGCGAAGAAATTAGTTATTCCTTTTCTGGCCAGCAAGTGATACATTGTTACCAGTGGTCTGTTTGTTTGTTTGTTTGCTTGTTGGCTTGTTTGTTTGTTTGTTTGTTTCTCTATTGGTTTGTTTGCTCATTCGTTTGTTTGTTTGCTTGCTAGTTTGTTTTTTGTTTGTCTATTTGTTTGTTTGTTTGTTTGCTCATTTGTCTGTTTGTTTGCTTGTTTGTTTATTTTTTGTTTGTCTATTTGTTTGTTTGTTTGTTTGTTTTTCTAAAAATAACAGTTACCTCGAATCTTGTCCATGATCTTCTCACCAACCATCTTTGGATCTTCGTCTTTGTCAGTCTCGATAACATTTGTCTTGTCAGGCGTCGTATTTTCAAGTTCAACAGGGTCAGCTTCCTCTCCAACGGCCACAGCAATGACTTCAATATCCCTCTCCTCAAGAGTTCGGACAGCCTTCTTGATTTCATCTTCGGTAGACCCTGATCTACTATCCGCCATTATCACGAGAACTTTGTGAGTCAAGGGTCTTCTGTCGTCATCTTCAAACATTTTGAGTGCCTTCTCCAGTGCGCCAGCTAAGTTTGGTGTTCCTGTTCCAACGCGGAGCTTTTCTACCGCTGTCTTGAGCTGCTGTGGCGACGGTGGAGTTTGCCCAAAGTTGATTTCTATTGTGGCAGTGTCCCCATACACCAGGACACTGTAGTGTATCTTCTGTGTGCCATACGCGTCGATGATGTAGGTGATGATGTCTTTCATTAACTTGAAGGTTTCGTTGTGGAGTACGCTCGATGCACTTAACGCAAATCCAAGATCCACCTCGGAGATGGGCGGTAGAACTAGACAGGAAATAACTAACATCAAATATGTTTTGGCATGGGAAGTATGATCACACACTTAACAGTTCGGCGCCTTCATTCCTTCTTGGCTAAACGTCTATAAATCTCTCCAACTACACTGTCCTGAGTGACCAAAGGACTGTTCTTTGCGCAGGTGACTTTGGGTGCAATTTTTTTCGAGATTTCCCGTAAGATTTTTGTCGCACTTACGACAAAAAATTGAAACCAGCTGCAATTTGAGTGGAAATTGAGCGCGCTATAGCGATAGAATGAATGTACACTGTACAATTTATATACATGACGATGTCTTGTCAACAAGGGTAATCAAAGTTCTGTCGTAAGTTCGAAATCTCTGGCGATATAGCGCTGAAACAAAAAAAAAAAAACGAAAAGCCTTGCACCTGGATTACACACGCGATTTGGTGTTGCAATCCTAACGCGACAGAATTCGCGGTTGGAATCGAGACAAAAATTTCCCATGAAAAATCGTCCCTGTAAATGGGGCTGCAACATAGCCTGCCGATCTAGAATTGGGCTGTACAGCCACGGCAGGCGCTGCAACTCAACCACTAACTGAATCATGGCGCAGACTTTCATTGTCTCCTGAGACAGACGGACGCCAACAAATGGGGCTTGACATATAACGCCCCACCTCAGGTCAGATTTAAGTCACTTATTTCGCTTATGAGAACTCGAGTGACTATTTCCAGCACTTGACCAAGCATCTGATTCGTGTTTTTGAGCAGAAGTTGTCCAATGCTTGGCAAAACTATTTATTTACGATATATCTATGATACCTGTATTTATTTTCTCCATGATCATCTTAGCTAGCTCGTTAGCCGAGGTGCCAGCAGACGGTTCTATGATGTTCGTCTTGTCTGGAGTGAGATTTTCCAGTTCTTTCACATACGCCTCGACACCTATCGCTACTGGAATCACTGCTATCCCAGCTTTCTCCAGGGGCTTGGCAGCTGTTTTTACATCAGATGCATTTGAACCAGATTTTTTGTCAGTGATTATAACCAGGACCTAGCAGAAAGAAAATACACTGTATACCAGCCCTAATTCCGTCTGTTCCTATCCGTGGTAAACAAAAAATAGCAAGGTGGCTAATATCAATACCAGCAGGCTGCTAATCCATCGAAGGCTAACCTAACAAAGATTTCTGTCAGGTTGCAGCAAAATTTCGCATTTATACACCTGTCAGGTAAGAGAGCCTTCAGTCTGAACGGAAGCCTGGAAGTGGAGAATTAACTCTAAAGTAATTTGAGCGCTAGAAATCACCCAAGTATTTCCTTCCAAGCATTAGCTTTAGTCAAGAAATAGGGGACCACACAAGGTCATAACGCCTTGTTACCGACGTGGGATTCGCACCCACGATCTACATATTACATCATCGTTGCTCTACCGACCAAGCTTCTGGGCCAGACGCGAGCAGATTGTGTGTTCATGTACATGTAATAGACCTTTCCCGCATTCCACTTCAGTGCGTACGAACAATAGCACCAGAGCGAGGTTGGGGTGGACGTTTTTATACATTTGCT